AAGCAGACCAGCAGCAGTGTTGCTGACAGCAACGTGACTTTCAGCGAGCATAAAAAGAGGTAAGATTGTTTTTTTTTACTAGTAAAATGTGAAAACTGTTATACAAGCTACCAATTTCTGGTTGCTATGCGCAAAGTTTTTTAGGCTTCAATGACCTCAATATATAATTATAATTAATGATATGCACACATATATTTCGCGAAAAAAAATGTTATACAATCTGTTATACAAATCATAAAATTGGAAAGTTTCTGGCTTTTGTGCAACTTTAGTGATTATAATGCCTCTGGTAGAATTAAAAAACCGCAGAAAAACTGTTATACTACGTTATAACGTAGAATGGAACTCTTTGCGTAGAAAGTTTTAGTAATTTATGCATCTAAAATAGTCGATATTAGTTTTTAAGAAGCGAGATTAGCCGAAGGAACTGTTATACAAACTGTTATACTGATTATATAACTAGATACCTTATGAATTTAGGAACATTTATAAAGCATGCATTTAAGCATCTTTCAAAATTTCAAAATTTATAGAAACTGTTATACTTATCATATATGTAAGTGAAAGTTTTGGGCATTTATGCATCTTTATGAGTTTCTAATAAGCAAAAAAATTAAAAGCGAGCAAATTTGTTTATAAAAACTGTTATAAAGACTCGCTTTAATATCATACGATAGATTGAAGATGAGGATTCTTGAATACATGATTTTTATGTTTTCGTTAAAAACCTTTGGAGGAAGCAAGTACAAATTAATCGAGGCAATTCTTATAAAAACTGTTATATACACCCCAAAAGACAATATCTTAAGTTTAACAGAACCAAGAGCAACAGATTGAACTGCTGTAAAATCTGTTATACATATCGTTTAAGTGAAAGCTTTAGTCAATTATGCATCTATCCTGCTAAGTGATTGTAAGCAACAAAAATAAACAAGCTAATCTAAAAAACTGTTATACAAACTCTTATACACAGAATATAAGTGAAATTTTACTGCATTTATGCATCTTCCGTTGCCCATAGGATTAAATGAGTCGAAAAATGGGAAACAAAAAAATCTTTACACAAACTTTAAAACTGTTATACACATCATACAATGTAATATAACACTAGGAAATGAATGAAAATGCATGCATCCGTGCATCTTTTGTGTTTGCTATGATTCTTTCAAACGTGAAAAAGGCAGCTTAATCGAAACAGCTCTTATAAACACTGTTATACACATCGTGATATGGAATATAGCACTTATAAATAGAATTTTTTAAGCATCTGTGAGGCTATAGTGGTCGTCAAAGTTTTTTTTTTTGAGAGGCAAAAACAACATTTTATTTGTAGATACTGTTAACACATCCTTAGAATGGAAATTTAAGACATATACGCATAGTTTTGGGCATTATAGGTTTTTTCAGTAGCAAAAGGCCACAGATGGAGCAAAAAATCTCAAATTGTTACACAAACAGTCATAAAATGCAATATAAGTGATTGTTCCTTAGCTGAAAATAATAATACATTTAGAACATTTGTGCTTCTGCCGTAGTTTTTCGCAAAGAAAATTAACGCTCAACCGACAAAACTGTTATACAAGTCGCTAAATGCAATATCGCACATACCAGTGAACGATTGCAGGCATTTGTTGCACTTCCGTGTTCGACGGAATGAATAATTCGTAGATTAACTGAAAAAAACTGTTTTACAAAATGTTATGCAAGTCAATAAATGCAAAAGAAAGCATATCAGTGAATGATTTCAGGCATTTTGTGCGCATTCGTGTTCGTCGAAACTTATTACAACTGAAAATTTTTTGAAAAAAACTGTTATACAAATCTTAGCACTTAATAAAAATACTATTAGAAAAACTGTTATACAAAGTGTTATACATACATATCAGGCGCTATTTGTATGTGTTTTCGTGTTTATTGTAAGTTTTTTGACACTCAATATAATACTTCAAAGTGAGTAGTTTGCAACATTTCTGCATCTGTTGTAACTCTTTCGCATAGATATGTTATTTATGGGTACTTTCGTGCTTTAAGGTACGAAACTTAGTAGCCTGGTACACACTTGGTCTGTGTCTTTACAGAGAGGGAGAGAGGCATCAGTTTGAAAATCTTGGACATATCCTATCATACTCGCTTATAGCGCCCAAAAGCAGTATTCATTCCTCAGCTGTAGTAGCAGTCAAGGCATCGCTCAAAATAAATTTTTAATTCCACTTCCAACAGTTCTTTGCTTCAGCAAACTTCGTTTATTTACACGTTGCTTTTATGGACACAGTGTCTATTAGAACGTTAACAAAAAAAAAAGTAAAGAAAACTATAAAACACAACTGTCAACTAAATACAATGTAAAGGAAAAAATAACAATGCTGATCGCCTCAAGCATACTAACGGCAAATTTAAACAAAGCGTACAAGTGGGTGAGGACGTGAGCGCGTGAGTCTGTGTGAGCGCCGGTGAGTTAATGATTTGCCGAATGAGTACCTTACAAGACTTTTTTATACTCATAGTACTGCAACGCTTTCAATATGAGCGCAACTGTCAGCGCGTCGCTTTACCGCTTTGATGACTGCGCTCTGACATTTGTTGAATGGTGACGTTTGGCTGTAAATTGTTTTCCATTTGGTTGTTATTTATTAACGGTTTTTGTTATTTTTTCCACAGGCTTTTTTTTGCATATTTTGTGCTGTTTTGTGATGTTGTGCAAGCATGCTAAATGCCACGCTGATAGACAACAACGAAAATGAAACTGACAGCAGACGGCCAAGCGAGATAGCATTAAATGAAATGTAACAAGCAGAGCGCAAAGTAAAGTGGAAGATCAATGTTTGAAATTTGTTGAGAATAAAAAAGAAAAACCAAAATATGTATATTAAAAATTAAAATCATTAAGTAAAATATTCAAGAAATTTCAAAGAAAAATATGTACATTTGTATGTATGCATGTCAGCCAGATTGCATTCGAATGAAAATTGTGCCAAAAAAGTGGCGCTAGATGATGAATGTCAGAAAAATGCCAGATTGCCCAGATAGGCGACAAAGTGCACTTCTTTCTTTCTCCTCTCTCCCCTCTCTATATTTACTTGTAGCGGTAAGTGCGTTTCCTTTTGGCGTCTTATTTACATACATAATTAGCTTACGGCTGGGGGCGGTGGTGGCCTTTTTCTCTTCATGAACGTGGATGGTGTACTAGCTTGAGAGCTCTGGCCTAAGGTACGAATATTATAAAAGCGCGAAGAGTTGGGGGTACCAGAGCGAGGGTGTTTTTAAGTTTTTAAATTTCCTGGTTGTATTTTAAATTTTGTTGCTCTTCTATATAAAAATTTAAAAAAAGGAAAACAAATTCTTAATTTTTGGAACGTAATTAGAAGGAACATTTTACAAGCAATTTAAATAAAAAATTAAAACTTAGTTTTTTCCTTTTTTATTTTTATGATACAAGAATCTATTAAAATATCTTGAAACCGTTTTTTTTTTATTCAAATAAATATAATTTCTCAAGGACTTTGAAAATGGGATAAGAAAAATTATAAAAAAGAAAATGTATGAGTTGAAAAAATTAAGTGTCTATTTCTACAAATTTTGTTCTAATGAAAATTGAAAAAATTTTTTCAAAAATTTTTTTTTTACGTAAGTAAACTTTTAGAAAAACAAGTTTTAAAAAAAAAATTAAAGAAAAAATTTTAAATTATCTTGTAGTCTTTTTTATTTTTTTATGATTCATTGAAACATCAAAAATACTAAAGAGTAAAATTATTTAATTAATAAAAATTTAGTTTTAGTAGGTTTGTAACAAATCGGGAATTCAAAATTATAAAAAGTTCAAATTTTATATCGCGTTTTATTTTGTAGAAAAAATCTTGGCTTCTCATTTTCCCCCTCTTGCTGTTTGTGCGAAGAGGGCAATACATGGCAACATTCTTTGGTAGAAAAATCCATGCTAGTTTAAAAATTGTTTTTGCAAATTTTGTTGTCATTTTTTAGTTTTATTTATCTTCTGAATACAATTTTGTTGCAACATAATTTCTAAAATAATCGTTTAGTTTTTAATTTTTACTAGGGTTTTAGAAAACTAATCGGACAAAAGTCACGATTTACAAAAGTTCTAAATTTAAATCTTATTTTTAAATATTTTTTAATTTTTTATGATTTAAGAAAATTTTTTAACTTATATACAACGTAAATTTTATTACGCTACGGATTAAAAATATGAGGAAGGAAAAATTATGATTAAAAAAACAACTTAAAAATTGTGAGCAAAAAAATGAAAATTTTTTAAAAATGTTGACATTTTTTACAAATCTTTGTTATAAATTTTGTAAAAAAATGTTTATAAGCATAATAGTTTAAATAAAAACTTCGTATATATTTGTACTCCATTATTGTAAAATTTAAAAAATGTATGCTTTTAATTTACATAAATTTCGTTTCGTCAAGTTGTTTTTTTTAATAGAAATGGCACTTAGAAAGAAATTAAAATTTATTTGTTTTCTTATTCTTTCTTGTATCTTGCTTCTCTTTCGCATAAAATTTCATCTTGCCATACATATTTTCCAAAAATAACTGCTTCATCATTGTTTTATTAAGATTTGCTAAAAATTTTAAATAGATTTTTTTTTATTTTTTAGTCTTTAATGTTTTTATGATTAATATAGAATTTAAAAATTATTTAAAAGTGAAATTACTTTTTTATTTAAATTATATTTTACCGGGATTTTAAGGATAAAGAAATAATTCTAAAAAAATGTAATTCATTGGTTAAATAATTTAATTTTCCTACAATTTTCGTATTTTCTTAAATTTAGACTTTTTTGCATAAAATTATGTTATTTTTTTTTTACTTTTGATACATTTTTAGAAAAAACCATTTTGAGAGTTATGATTAAAAAAATATTTAAATTTATTTATTTCTATATTTTATTTATGAAATCTCTATTTATTTATAAAATTCTGGAAAGTAAACTTTTGCAATTTACATAAGTTCTATTTCGCCGCTATTATTTATAGGAGTTATATTTAAGTCTTAAAACTTAGTGGCCTTACTAAAAAAAAATAAATAAAATAG